GAAATAATCATAATAGATTTGCTGAATGCATTAATGCAGTGTTCACGTTAATGATTTCCGTACAATTCACCATAAGCTCGACAGTGCTCTGTCTTAGCATCTACAAAATGTTGACGAAGAATTTGCTGAGCCTTGAATTTGCATGGAGCTCGTCATATCTTGGTTGTATGCTTATGCAGATTTATTTGTACTGCTGGTTTGGTAACGAAGTAACATTGAAGTTTGGTCATTAAAAAAATGTTTTAATTTTTAAAATCTTATTTTCTTCAAAGAATATTTATTTGAAGTCGATTTAAACTTTCTTTTTAATCAGTTTATTGTTAAATATGTAGAGCACTGAAATCGGAAATGCTATTTATGAGATGGAATGGCCGATGCTTCCTGTTGATTTAATGAAAATTCTTTTATTAATAATTACGCGATCTAAGAGACCAATTAAGATAACTAGTGGATACATGATTACTTTGTCCAACGATTCGTTTATGAAGGTAAACAGGATAATATTTATCATAATATTTGGGTTAAAAATGTTTTTAATTAAATATAAAATAATTATATCTTGATTATAATATTTTTTAATTTTCATTTTTTTAGATCATCAAAATATCTTATTCAGCGTACAACGTTCTGCAAGGATCTTAGTACAAACAAAAGCTATCATTTTTTTCGGATACGTCGAAGAAATCTGATGGCCAACTATTTATTTCCACGCAAATAATAACGCTTAGAAACATTTAAATGTGCTTAAATATTTTCTTAAATATATTCTTATACATTTTTCGTATAAGGCTGAAGATATCTTATGAAATCGATCTTATTCTCGCTTTTTCTTCAATGGCTTGAAACTGAACATGGCAACAGCAGCTCGCAGGAAGTCGGAAGTAATCGCGAACGATCTCGCCACCCTCAGAAATGGCTGACAGCTCGCGATAAATATACTTCTGTTTGCACATCGTGACGTATCCTTCAGCAAAATTATCGATCATTCTGCACTTACCATCTTGTTCTCTGAAAATAGAATACATTACGAATATTTCTCGTAATTTCTATTTTACTCTCGGCTTATAATTTATATATACTATATTTATCCTGTAATTTTCTTATTCATATTACATATAAACATTAAAGGATTGTGATATTTTAATTTGTCTTTTTTTGTACTTACTTACAAGCTTCGATGCGAATACTTTGAAAGAAATTTTTGCCTGCTTGAACAATGTACATCCACTGATTTTTCACATTTATAGCCGTTTTTGGACGAATTAATCGCTCCTGTAATTTAAAATGGTTTTTATTAGTGTTTATAAATATTTTTTAAACTTAACATTATTTACATATATATATAGTATCACTCAATGCCAGCAATCACAAAACTAACAAAAATGAAGACTAACATAATATTAATACATAATCGTAATAGCAGTAATCTTATCCATAAAACAAATTTCAACCGATTAAAATTTGTCTTATGAATCAATTTACTGCCATTTCTATTTCCGTTAAAATACATAGATCTAAAGCAATATCCTGATTGACTCATAATCGGCTTAAATTTACGTCTTATAATTAGTAAAATGTAAGTAGTAAGGAAATCGTAATATTGGATTTATTGCAGGTATTACGGTCTCTACTATGATTGGCTAATTTGTTTAATTTCTACTTCTATGTCCATCAGATTACGTAAATCTAAAGCAATATCCTGATTGGATCATCGGCTTAAATTTACATCTTACGCTTACAGTTTTGTTTGCGGTAGCTCTTAAGCTTATGGCTTAAGCACATACAAAAACGTAAGGCAGTAACACGTAAGCAATCAACTTATTCGTAAAAGTGCAATTTCATACAGCATCAAAACGCTAGCGGCTCTCCCCACTCTGCATAATTCTCTATAAGCCATCATTTAGCTGCTTGAATTCGGAAAGGCCCAACTATAATAGAAAGTAGTTAGCAGATAGACGCAGACGTATTTCGTTTATAGAATTGGATGAAACTAACCTTTTTATTACTGACAGCAATCTATTTCGTAATATTGCTGATAAAATATTATTTGAGCAGTTTAAACGCATTTTGAAACTTATTCTTAAGTATCAGTTTCAAACAGGAATTAAATATATTAAAAAACCAATTTTATCAATGATTATATTGATCTAGCGACTAGCAATTTGTCGCTTCATAAAAAGATAGTGGGATTGTAGCGGCTCGCGTTTTATCGACAGTTCCTTTAGAGGGAAAACGTACCACAAAGTGGGGATAGCCGCTCAACTGTAGCTAGCGTTTTCACGTTGCAACTCGTGGTCAATTACAACGTGGTCATTTGCAACTTATGGTCATCACAATGTGATCATTTGTAACACGTGATCAATTGCAACGTGACCAATTGCAACGTGGTCAATCGCAAAGTGATCAAATAGGATGCTCCTCTTATGGACATTTTTGATCTATGAGTCAAGAACTATAACACACTAAAGCTTTAGTTTATTTCACGAGGGTTTATTTCACCAAAATCCTACGATTTTATGAGGGTTCTTTCCAACTGGTTGAAATTTACTTTATGGATTTACTGTTATTTCTATATTCGCTGGATTACGTAATATATATATCTAAAGCAATATCTTGATTAGCTTATCGATTTAAGTTTACGTCTTACAATTAGAGCCATTACACACAAAATTATATAAGCTGCATAAGCATAGCACGCTGGATCAATGACTTAACAAATCAATATGGCATCTTTTTGTCAGATTATCATTAGTCCAACAGTCTTATACTTAAGCAGTTTATTTCGTTTTGTGTGTGGTGGCCCTCAGGGTATATCCACACAAACTTTTACGTACGTCTTTAGAAATGTGATTGGATAATTTTTTTATGCATACGTTTATGCGACTATCCAAGTTTGTGTAGATATACTCTTAAGGGTCATCACACATAAAATGACATAAGCTGCATAACCATAGCATAAGGCCGCTAAAACATTGAGTATCTTATGCAAATCAATATAGCGACATTATGCTGGATACTCATTGGTCCAGCAGTCTTATGTTATGCTTATGTTCTGTTATGTATTTTATGTATACGACAGACTTTAAGATATATCCACACAACTTGCATAAGAGAAATATGATTGGATAATTTTTTTCATGAACACATTTATCCTGTAGACTATGCAAGTGTGTGTATGCCCTTATTGTTACGAATTTTGTCTGCGGTAGCTTTTGCATAAATTTTGTCTGTGGTAGCCCTAAAAAAGTCATATGCTATTGTCATAGAGTCATATAGTATAGATAAGATAAACCAAGCATACCGAATGTCAATAAAAAATTTTACCGACTAGCACATGAGAAAGAGGGAACAACGGCATTCTCCATTTTTTCTCTTTTCAATAGAAGAAAGTGATTTACAGTTGCATCCCACTACTTTTTTTTGTTAAAGAGAGAATGAAAAATATGCCCTTGTTCTATAGGAAGGATTACATGTGTGCTATTTGACTCACGCTTACTTTTGTTCCGCGTCGTCAATAGGGTATAAGATTACCAACTATGAAACGCAAAACATGATGGTATTCATAGTTCGTTCTTATTTTAAAATTATTTTAAATAATGTCCTAAGATGTTAATATAATCCTTGGATTGATTTACGATATCTTAAGATTGTACTTAAGACAGTCTTAAATATAAGAATTGACTATGAACACTAACCTGTTTCGCATCGTGGAAGTTGATATTGAATCTTTTCTTGTTTAATATATTTTATGTTCTTCTTTCTATAGAAAAAGAACATAAGATGGATTTCGTTTTGAACTATCTACGAGAGTACATCTCAACATCTTGAGTTCTTTTATATTTTGAGTTGCTGAATACAAATCTGATATTAAAATAGGATCTAGAGTAAATTTTCAATTTAGAGCGAAAAAATATCCCATTTTTCTCATTTTTTCGCTTTAAATTTGCCCTAGATAGTTCTATTTTTATGTCAAATTCATATTCAGCGACTCAAAATACATAAGAATCGTTGAGTCTCTACCCCAGCACAGGATACTTTTTTTTTGAGAGTGTGTTATCAAATAAAATCCAATTGTTAAACGAAGAAAAAGAAAACAAGATCAAGATTGCCTAAAAAAAAACTGCCAGTATACTGCAGGCTACTGCATATTAAATTGAATCACAAAAAAGAAAGTCGATGAATAAGATAAGGTGAGTTCTTTGAAAGACCGATGTTGTTTTAATGCTTAAAATTTTTTCCCTTTCTTTAAATTTTCTAATCTAAAGTTGATTATAGTTTATATGATTCGAGACTATATATAATTGTATTTAGAGAAAATTATATAAACAAAATATATAGAAGAAATCATACGATTTGATTCAAATAGAGGAAGGTCAAGAATGTAATTTTTTTTTCACTTGGCTTTGAACGTGTGATACCAAAGTATCATATCTTGAAGTTGAAACATATGCATAGTCAAATTCTTTTTTTGAACAGAATTTATATCTGTAAAGACAGATATCCATTTCCTTTCAGTATATTAAATATAAAAGGTAAATTGTGTAAATTCGTATGAAATATAAAATATTCCTATACAGTGAGAGTAAAAAATATTCGTATAAGAAAATTTTTTTATAAAAAGTCTTATTTGTAAAAAATAAACATTAATTAGCAATTTTATACAATGAATATAATCTGTTCTAACATAAACAAACGAGCTTCGCACGTATTTCTAATTTTAGAAGCTAAATTTTTTAATTGTACGAATACTTTTCAAGCATCCAAACAATAAAATTCTTAATTTTCGCTTATTTTTCAGATGATATATTAGATGTACAACTTTGCTTCCGCCGTTTTCCTATAGATG